GGTGTGACCATGAGAAAGGAGGCAAATAATTGGTATTTTTTTATTTGTACTGTCAAAGCATCTTGAGATTGCACAAATAATGACCAAATAGTCCTTGTCAAAAGAGTTTACATTGTAAGAAAAGGTGCTTCTTAATCAGAGAAGTGAAAGCTAGCATTGTTATAATTTCCAGTCCTCTGGGATCAGCAAGACAGATTGGGAAGGAAGCTGAATACATCCCTACAATGTCCTTTCCAAATCATTGCAAAGATTCATCATGAGAGCAAGGGAGGTCCAATTAGGCACGTCGCACTCTTTCATTTTGGTTTACACGTAGCCGTGGAGTCTGTCAGCACTCAGCAGTATAACTGAGTCATGCACAGACAGAACCAAAGGAGAACACTTTTTGAAATGCACCTTCTCAGAGATTCATACATTTTTTTTTCTGTCTTCTCTGCCTGTCTCTTTGATAGTTTGTGCCTCTGAAACTTTTGGATGATGACTTTAAGAGGTGCTCAGAAAACTTCCTGCCTTGAACCAGGTGTGTGCCTATTTCTCTTTCACTCATTTCAGAAGTCTGGCATCCTCTTGGAATCAGATGAATTTATAGTCAATATCCACTAAAATACCCATTAATACTGTCCTTTGTCTTACAGTAATTACCACACAGATGACTTCAGTGCATATTTGGGACTCTTATTGATCACACTACTGTGCTACAGTGGATTTCACTGCCTTTGTTGCAAGATACATCATCTTTAAAAGCTGATCCCATTGGAATCAATGGAAAAACTTTCATGGAATTCACAGGCTTTGGACCAGACCCTAAATCAGTTTCTGGTTTAGGTTTTAAGACAAAATTACTTACATGTTTTTCTTCTACAAAAGATTTTACTTGTTGCGTTGTGCAGCAGTCATTTAGACATATTACATAAAAAGGCACTGTCTTTGAAAGGTTTGCAATCTTCACCCCTCTCTCTCCCTCCTGGGTATTTTATCTTTGGGTTTCCAAACAGCAAAATCAAAGCTTTGTGATCTATAACTACGTGGAGATGATCTTCACAAATGTAAACATAAAAGTGACTGCTGCATCCACAGACTACCACAAGTTCCTTATCTGCTTGCAAGTATTTCTATTCCATCTCAATTAATCTGTGACCAGCATATGCAATATTTTTACTGTGCACTGCCTGTCTTTACTCCTAGCTTTGCTCCTACTCTTGGAACGTTAGAATCACTACAATTACTCCTTTTACTCTTCGGTTTCATGTTCAACACATTGGCACAAAAAAAACCCCAAACCACCTTTTTCTGTTGGTTACTTACTCCACCAGTTTTGGAAGTTCCAGTGTCAGATCATAAATGTAGTGTACAACAGCAGAGCTGTTGTACAGGAAAACTGTTATGCTGAATGACCACCTGATCTTTGGAATCATACTCTGATTCTGATGGGAAAAGCTCTGCTAAAGAGCCAGAAGCACCTCTGCCAGACAAGGAGCAGAGAGTTCATATACAAGCTGATAGTAGAACCGTGGTCTTTTAGGGAAACACACAATTTGCTTTCAGTCCCCCAGTCAGTTGACAGTTTTTCTAAGAATTTATCATTTGCATTTGGCAAAATGTCAATCACAGAGACAAACTGAAAAGTTTGACTAGTAGATAGACTGGGACTACTCAAAATACTATGAGGCTGATGGTAGAGAGAAATACAGAAATTTTGATTCAAAATTTGGAAGAAGATTGCACAACGTTTCAATGAGCAAGCCTCAGGAAAGTCTTCTATGTAATGTCATTTTAATGCTTTTCAGAAGGCAGGAAACACACTCATTTAAAGGTAGTCAGAATAAAGCTCATGGATTTATTTCTCTTTGCTAAGATGGCCCTTGGCCTTAAATTTCTCTTTGGGTAAGAGTAAAATGTAGCTGAACAAAATGCTGCTTTCAGAAATAAAGTAATCTTTTGAAATTTGCCATTTTCACCTTAGCTTCGTATTACTGACTATTCCTAAGAAGAGGTTTTAACCCAGATTCAGTCAGTTGCTTTTCATGTCAGCCCCACAATGGTGGTAGTACACTTGGTGGGATCAAGAATGAGTGGCCAAGGATGAAAGCTTCCTCATAAACCCATTACAGTCCAGCAGATCATTTCATCTATCTCTAGGAGGTCTTTCAGGAGTTCTCATCCAGCTGCTCACAACACATTTCTATTGGTCCTCCTGTGCAAGGCCAGAAAAAATTACTCTGTTTTGCTGAGGACTCCTTCAGCCCCAAGGTATTTCCACACCTCCAGTCCTCCCTTTCAAGACCCATGTGTAATCTTTACCCATGGGTAGGTCTGCAGCTCCTGCAACAAAATCAGGACATCTGATTTTGTTGGGGCATATTCGGCTCCTTTCAGTTCTTCTTTAGCTGTTTCTTATATTATGATTCTACCCCAAATCCACAATACTTTAGCTGAGAGGAACATCTTGGGGTCCATATGAGATTCACAAACCTATGATCTAGAGGATCTAGAGGGTCTAGATCACAGAATTAATCTCTTTTCTCAGGGGACTGCTTTGGTTAGGCTAGATATGATCAAGTCTTCAACCTCCAAAAAAACACCTCAGATGCCAAATATTTAGAGGAATATTCCACTGAAATTCTCAAGTACATCTAGACTGACACAAACTCAAAACCTAAACTTCCTTCAGGGAACTAGCAGCTCAATATCTCATTTCCCAAGAACAGCACCTAAATTTTAGTCATGGCCCATACTGTGACAACTGTGACAAGTTATTTGCAAAAACATAACATTCAGCCCTGTATTAGATTGTTACCTGAGATCTATCATTGCAGTCCCAGGTGTATTTTTTATGTACAGTGATGAACATTACTCAGAATACATGTTTATCAACTCCCACCACCACCAAAAAAAAACCAAACCCACACCAAAAGCTTAGGTATCCTGTGAGTTATAGGGAGCTGGTTAAGCTCTACAAGGAGAAAGCAAGTCACAAAATAAATCAACATGAAGCTGTTGAAAATCTTACCTTCTGCCAGCACAAAAGCTTCAGAAATTATGAATTGAAGGACCAGGGCCTCAAGGTAACAGAAAATACACAAGGATCCTCAGATTTGCAAATTATTTTGCTGCCTTTGCTGGAGTTCTCAGAACATAATTATTCAAAATCTGAATGTGAAAAGTAAGGGCATGTAAACTCAATATGAATATTCAAAGAACTCAACTGATGTTTGGTACAAATATAGAAAGGAAAGAAGCAGCATGAGAAGCTGTTAAATCAAGCTACGTGTCTGCCTGTCAGACAAATGTATGTAACCCCAAACAAAAAGCCATCAGGTCAGATCCTCAGCTGATGGAAACTGGCTTAACTTTCTTAATTCAGCAGAAATAAGCTGAATACCTATCCTACCGGTTCTCTTTTGGAAATTCATGTTCACAGTTATTTTAGTAGCCTGTACTGTGTAACAAAAAAACCCCCAAACTCACAAGACTCTCCCTTCCCATTTAGAAAATTAATTCCTCTCAGGGATGCTCAAGATCATTAAGAGTTTTCTGAGAGCTGTACACTATATGATTAATAATAAAATAAAAAAAGAGGGAGGGAATGGAGATAAATTCAGCCCGGCTTTGAAATCCAGCGTAAGGACTATGTATGTCACAGAATCTCACAGCATCACAGAATATGCTGAGTTGGAAAGGACCCACAAGGATTGTCTAGTCCAATCCTTAGTCCTGCACGGGACCATCCCCAAGAGTCACACTATGTGCCTGAGAGTATCACACCCAACCACCTTCTGGGTGAAGAACCTTTTTCTAATATCCAACTTAAACCTCCCCTGACACAACTTCAGGCCATTCCCTTGGGTCCTGTCACTGGTCACCACAGAGAAGAGATCAGTGCCTGCCTCTCTGCTTTCCCTTTTGAGGAATCTGAACCTGTAGGACTGCAGGTCCTCAGTCTCCTCTTCTCCAGGCTGAGTAGAGCAACTGACCTCAGCTGCTCCTCGTACAGCTTACCCTCAAGGCAGTTCACCATCCTCGATGCCCTCCATTGGATGGTCTCTAACAGCTTAATATCTTTCTGATACTGTGGTGACCAAAACTGCCCACAATATTCAAGATGAGGCCACACCAGTGCAGAGTGAAGTGGGACAATACCCAAAATCAAGGGAATCTTTCAGACACTATTAAGGCGTTCCTCTGCTGCATGCATTAATCAAATATTTTATCACAGGTAAATGCCACAAAGTCTACAGTATCTTTTTCAAAGAGTTGGGTTTTTTTAAAATAATTTTTTAAAATTCAGGTTATCTCTGTATTAAGAATAGGTTTTTCTCTTTATTTGAAGGCTTTCATGAGTAACTGGTTCTCAAATGATACAACAGCTTTGGTCAACTTTGAGATGTTTTTGCCACGAAGACTTTGGTCTTCCAGAGGTATTTTCATCTGTACATCATTTAATGGAAGTTGGACATATAAAGAAACTAGCATAGGTTCCTGTAAAAAGACCTTTAATATCCTTTACAGAGATACATTTTCTTCTTCTTTTTAGGAACATGCTAACAGGAAATAAACTGACTTTGCAGTAATAAAACTGGAAACTGTGAAAAAGGAAAAATAATTCTATTGTATACCATAAAACATACAAGCTAATAAAACTGCACATTTCCGAAGAACCTGGGAATTGAGGCAATATAGAAGTGAGTAGGAATTTTTCAAATAATTGTTAATCAAAGCTAGTTCATGGAAAAGACATCTAGTTAGATTAATATCAGTATGAATGATTAGTTTCATTTTTCCTATTGAGACTATTGAATCAATATTAAGGTCAAATATTTTTGCTTCAGAAGGATTTAAATTTGCCTCCGTTTAAATAGAAATAGAAAATAAGAAATTGTTTTTAAAGCATAAGAACATAAAATGATAGAAATATATCTCGTGTTTCTGGATGTATAAAATAGCTATCAATTAGAGCAAATACAGCACGTAAGCACATAGTGTGCTTACTAGAATGAATTAAAAAAATTGCATATGAAACACTTTCCTGTCAGAAGACAGTTCTGTTAAAATAGAAAGAACTTGTAGTGCAAGCAGTTTGCAAAGACGTCATTTGAAAATGTTTTGGTTGGGACTTACTCAAGCGTAGCACTTCAGTAGGGTTTAGAAACTGCAAACCAAGCAAGTTTTGTGGGGCTACTGTTACTTCTATATCCAATACCATGGTTGCCTGTTAGCAAGGAAACTGTTGTCTCCTGTCTGCACTGGTGCCTTCCTCAGTCTTCACACGCACTTGGGGAGTTCACAGAAATGGATCTGCTGTATATGACACTGTCCCCAGTTTGGGAGATGGCAACCCAGGTCAGGACCCAAACCACAGAATGCTGCTGCAAACATCCCAGCACTGCAGAGTCCTTGGGGCTTTGAAGGAAACACCCCCTTTCATATGTTTGTTCCTTTTTCTCATGTTGCATTTCTTTTAGACAAAAATGCCAGGATTGGGTGGAAGCTTTGATTTGGGTTGTTCCTGGGAATGAACTGAGGATAAGCCAGAGAGAAAGGCAACGGAACTCAAGAGAGCTGGAAGGAAGGGGGAGAGTCACAGCCAGAAACTGCAAGCCAGGGCAGCAGAGACTGAGGGACTCCGACAGCGAGGAGGGAGACAGCAACACATTTCAGCAGTGATGGAAGAAGCCCTGCTGAGAGGGGACTGGTCAGAGTTACCTGCAACTCATAAATCCCACAAATGCACTGAAATCCAAACTGCAAGTGAAGATGCAGAGTGCAAGGGAGATTTAAATATTACGTTCTCCTTCCTGATCTAGTGACTTTGATCTTTCTCTGGAAAATCAGTATTCTCATTTATATTCTAATGCAATATAAATTTGTAGGGTTTTTGTTTGCTTTTGTCGAGGTTTTAAGTGGGCGTTTTTTTCCACGAAAACAACTCTGGGTTTTTTTGGCAACTCAGTATATGGAAAAAGAAATTATAGAAGTCTACCTCTAATATGTGGTCAGTTCAGGGTATCACCACTGGATTTCTGCCAGGTTTAAAGCTAACTTTGACTAGAAATGAAACAAAATCTTTCTAATCAAAAGATTGTATGGTTTTCATTTCCCTGTGAAGTTTAGGACTTCAATTTTTTTCATTTGAATGTGTATCAAAATATTAGAATTTTGTGCAAGATAGAAATTCTCTATTTTTTCTTGTTTTCTTAAGAAAACAGATTTAAAGTGTGCTTCCTTTCTGTTTATTGTCCTTAATTTCTTATTATGGTGGCAAATTTCCAGTAATATGGCAGCATATGATAACCAAGAAGAGGAATCGGACTTCATTACCAAGTTTCCTGTTGGAGGGAAATGTTACAGCATGAACTCTTGTTTTACTGGATACAATAGTGCTCGGGCAAAAGAGAAATTTGCATCTAGCTGGGAAAAAAAATTTCAACAGAGTTTTCAACCAGCAACAAGAGAGAAAAACATAGTAAACCTTGTATTTAGGAACTCTGGGAACTCAGATTTCATTCATTCCGATGCTCATCTATTAAAAATTGTTTTGTTTTGTCAAGAGCTGGAAAGAAGGTCCAAATTATTGTTAAAGGTGAATGCAACTACGTAATACTTTCACAACATGTACACACAGGAACTTGGCAGAGTATTATATATTTCAGGGTGTCTAACTGAATAAAGCCTTGTCTAAACTAGTGTACCTCCTTCCAGGATGATTTGCAAGTATAGGCGAGTCTAACTGTGAAGAAAAAGACAAAAGATGGACATGAGTAAACAGGATATGACAATGCCTGCACAATAGACAACTACAGATAACAATACCAGTCCAAGACCAAAACAGCTCCATGGCTGAGGTTATGTCAGATGACCTAAGTTTACACTCTGATGAGAAATGTTGCACCAGTTCGTGCTAGTGAAGCCTCGTCTCTGGTGTGGGCTCACTTTAAAACACCTTTTGTCCTTCTCCTGCCCACGGCAGTGGCCCGGTTGCAGCCCTGGAGTTGGCGGGGATGTTTGCTGACTGTGGAATCGCACAATTCTCACCACTTGCTGCAAAAGCCATTCATTGTCCTTACAGAAATCTGCCTGTTTGCTTCTCTAAACGGCAATGTACCATCACTAGCCTGAGCTTGTGGTAGGATATTACTATTGGATTCCCATACAGTTTCCAGTGAGCTTTGTAACTTAAACCATCATGAAGTTCAGACTGACACAGAGGTTTGGAAGGTTAATTTATCCATTTTGACAGCGTATGTAAATATGTTTATAGTGACTCTCGACTTATGAGTACATTTCTCAAAGCAGTTTCAGAATAATTTATATAGGATCTTCTTGTTGAGTGCTTCTTTAAAGAAAAGGAAATATAGGTAAAGCATATGTATAAAAAAATCCCTTCATGTTTGGTTTTGATTTACTTCACAGTGGAAAATTCTCTGGAGCTTGCTTTTCCTCTGCAGCTTTTAAGCAGTGAAATAGATGATGTTTGTGCTAATTAAGCCACTGATCACTCTACCCATTTTCCAGTAAAGCCTAGACCACAGTCAGGCTGTTATTTCTTTGAAGCAATGCCATGTTCTTGGAAATAATGTTCTAAGTTGCTAACAGGGAAGCATGCATACTCCACAAGCAGTTTATTGTTAACATGAGTGCATAAATAAGACTTTATTAGCCACTTAATACTAATAACATTTGTTGTTCAGTTTGTTGAACACTCAGTAGCTCTACAAAAAAGGCCAAAGCTAAGGTGTTTATTGGATACTTCAATTACATTTGTGGGAGAAAAGGCTTTTATATCCTGTCTGATTTTATAAGTTAAATACCCTTGTGAGTAAGGAACAAAAAAATAATGACCTGAAAACAATTTAAATTAAAGTGCACTATTTTTCATGTTTAAGAATATTTATTTCCAAAGCATGAATATACCAACGTAGAGTGGAATGGTTTCCAGACAGCTTATTTTTAATATCCCCAGAAGCAAGATGTAAGGCATACAGCATGTGAGGTGTTATTTTTTTCCTGTTATGGCTTAGCTGGACTGGATTATAAAAAGAAAAAGACTTGTTTGTCTCCTCCATAGCTTTTGAGTGCTACAGTTAGGGTACAGGAACAGCAGTTGCATTGTCCTCATGTTTTGACTTTGGAAATAAAGCAAGTCTAGAAGAAAGGAATGAGAAATAACTTGCATTTCTCTGACTTTTGGACTTAAGTTTACAGTCCCTAATTTTTCATTCCATTCCAGTAAAAAAAATACTTTAATGCCAGCCTAAAGCAGTGGATCAAAATTAAAGTGAAAAAGTAGGAGTTACTAATGAGATAATAACCTTTAGGCTTTATTTACTTTGTTGATGTTTTCTGTTTATCCAAGGAATGCAAATCTCTTTTAAAAATGTGAGAAAAATTTTTCACTTATTGATCTAAAATGTAAGAGGAAAATATTAGTATTGAACAATCTACAGCAAAGAACCTCAAGAGTTGACCATACTGTATAATAAATCTCCAGATCATTTGCCTCTAGGCATGAAATTTCCCATTTTTGGTCTTTGGCCAAAGGTGGTTTTCTGTTTTTAAAAAAGACACATTTTTTTTAGCCATTTGTAGCTGTAACATAAAAATGATCTTGAGCTTTTTTTTCAAGTATTACAACCTTATTAAAAAGTGGTCACATAATCTTGGGCATGACTAAGCTGAGATAAAGTTTTCGTGAGCTCCCATCATTGATAGACATTAGCTCCTGAGACTGCAAAATTTCCAGCACTATCTCTCACTGTTCACCTATGCAACACCTGCAGCTATAGAATAATGATCATTGCCAGGTTGAACAAGTGCATTCAAAAATGCAAAAGCAGGATTTGCAGAATACCAGGTACTGGACTACAGCAGGAGTGGCTCTGTTAGCAGTTAACTCCTTTGGCAGTGTCAGGTCATGGCTGTGTGCTAGGATATTCATTATTTTGAAGATAGTCTCATATCAGCAGTGACACATCTTCCAGAGTTTGCTACCTCTGTTAAAAAAAAAACAAACGATAATCAACCTGAAAAAAAAAAAAACCTAAAGATTTGGAGAATGTGATAAAATCAGATTGCGACCCATGAGGACTGTTCCAGTTTCGCACCACAGGGACATTGCTAAGCTTTGTCTGTCAATAACAAGACTCCTCTTTTTTGCCCCCGCCTATTGCTTACTGACTCCTTGACTCAGAAACTTGCTGAGATACCATTGCAGCCCTTGGATGAGATACTAGAGGAGAATGAAAGCTTGCACAGGTGGAGAAAATTTGGCCTGGGATAATCTGACCTGGAGAGCAGTGGTGCTGGGAGGAAGGAGGTGGACCAACAAGATGCTGCAACTGTCTGATAACATCATCCTACCCCTGGGGAAGGAGCCAAGCTCTCATGTGCACAGTCAGCCCCACAACACTGGGACCTGGCTTGCTCCTATGTATCACTGCCTGGATCTGCCAAAAATACTAACAAAGTGTTGTCCTAAATTATGTGAGTAAGGGATATGGGTCTTCCAACTGGAATATAGGAAATCCCCTATTATGTGGGATGTCTGGTTGTACTAACAATAGCATGGAAAGCCTGTGCTTGTAAAAGTCAAATTCTCAGTAAGAGAACTATTTAAAGAGGTGAAGTAATTACAGCTGGCACAGCAGCCATGAGGCACATGCAGACTAGATTTCATGATGACTTCCAAATGCATTTTTGCTGCAGCACATGTTATTTCCCACAGCTTCAGTGAAGGATGCTCCAAGAGAGCTATCCAGAGGCACACACAGCATCCTTGTCAGCTTCATCTCTTTTCATTGTAATTATCCCAAGTTTCTTTTTGACCTTTCTTCCCTTAAGAGGAAAATAAATATGTTAATCTGCTTGGATATGAGTCTATGCATAAATGGTTTTTAAAAATTCAGGTAGACCATTCCCTCACAAGTAGATTTCTCCCTGTGGAGAGGATGAGAACATGAACAATACTAGTTCTGTTGATTATTGCTTTCTGGAAAGCACCCAGATTTTCCTTCAATTAGTATAAGAGGAGCAATAGAAAACAGAAAGGAGGCCTCTGCCACCAAGGGGACACAATCTTCCATCTTTATGTTTAAATTCAAAGTTCAATCCCATTTGTAAAATTTATTTAAGATCAGGGCACCCTGAAAGAGATGCAGATCCCACAGGGCAGTGAATGGCATGCATATCTAGGCCAGGTGGGACAGAAGGGCAAACACAGCAGTTCACTGCTGCTGAGTCAGGGCAACCCCCTCCTCAGGTCACCCGCTGCCCCTGTCTCTGCTGCAGGATCTCTCCCTGCTCTGCACCCCAACACTGGTGTCTGTCTGACCCAGTAGGGAGTGGGTTGCTGCACTGGCAGACAGCTGGAGACACAAAAATAATGGAAATAGCTGAATTATCTTGGCAGGAGATCAGGGAACCTCCAGAGCTGGTACACTGCTGGAAAGAAAGCTGGGAGAAGGAGGACAGCAGAGATGGAAGGGGAGCAGGAGTATTGCTGCTTTTGAGAGCCTGGAGCTGACATCAACCATTTCACATCATCCCTCCTGGGCAGATAGACACTGTCCAGCTCAGTGTAGCTGGAGAACCCCACAGCCAGATCCTGATGCTGTCTTGTCTCCTCAGGAATCAGCCAGGGACATGGCTGGTTCCCACATGGGGCACAACAGATCCCACAGCATGGGTGAGAAGGGGGAGTCAAACTGTGCCTGGGAACATGCAGCTGAGACCTTTCTTTGCTCATGGGCCCCATGACATGGTGGAGTCCTGAGAGAGACCCTGGGAGACAGTCACAGCTATGGAAAGCTGAGGGAATGCTATGACTCAATATTGCACAGGGAAAACAAAGGCTGAGGGAGGTGTCTTTAGCATTACTGTGATTTTCTGCAATAGCAATGTACATTTTGTTTGAATGCATGGGATTTCTCTTTAAAACAGCAAATACATTTTTCTCCAGCCCATAACCAGAATAATGGGAAAACATAAACATCTCTCCAGGCATATGTTGTGGGCAATAATTCCCTGTTTGCAGGTAACAAAATGGCATAGAAAATAAATTAACAAAATAATTGCTGCCTGGGGTTAAACCACGACAGTATTGTCAAATATCACATGAGAGTATGTTTTACTTTTTATTCATACATATTATATAAATAGCAATATTTAATCTTTGTTAAGGGAATGTTTTCCTCTGGGAAATTATCTCCTTTCAGTTGTTATTGGCAGTGGCTTGTTTCAATTTTTTGCAAGACAGAGACATATATGTGCTGCAACTCGTGATTGACATACATTGAACACACTGAGAGCTTCAGCTACTGGTACTCTACTTACACAACCAGTGCAGGCAAATCACTGTTTCCTTTACTTTTCAGACAATCTTTCAATATTTCAAGCCTTATCATGTAAGGAACAGTGAAAGCTTCATTTCAATTAAGGTCAGGCACTTTGCAGGAAGAGGTGGGAGATGTCTCTTGCTTCAAGGATGGCACATCACAGAATCACAGAAGCACAGAATCGCAGAATGGGTCAGGTTGAAGGAGACCACAGTGGGTCATCTGGTCCAACCTCCCTGCTCAAGCAGGGTCATCCTTGACCACAAGGTATTGTATTCCATCCAGATGATTCTTGAATACCTCCAATGAGGGAGATTCCACAATGTCTCTGAACAATCTGTTCCAGTGCTCGGTCACTGCACATTAAAGAAATTCTTCCTCACGTTCAGCTGGATCTTCCTGTGCATCAGTTTCTAACCGTTGCTTTTTGTTCAATTGCTTGGCACCACCAAGAAAAGCCTGGATCCATCTCCTCGGTACCCACTCTTTAGATATTAATACACATTAATATGTATCAATGACCCCTCTAAGTCATCTCTTCTTGAGGCTGAACGGGCCCAGATCCCTCAGCGTTCCCTTGCAAGAGAGATTCTCCAGACCCTTGACCAAGTTTGTAGCTCTCTGCTAGACCAACTCAACTGGCATGTAACCAGGCTGTTCAGCCCCTTTCAGGACCAAGCCCTAAGTTTATCAAGTATGAAAATATTAATAAAAAAGTGGAGAGGGAAAAAATAGCCCTGAAAAAAATCTTTCACTTCCCTGCAGGCAGGGCTGCAAGAGTTTACTCGATTTGAAGAATTCAAGACCCCATGGTGGTGTAGTGGCAGGATCAGGTGGCATCATCTTAGAAAGGAGACGTCAGGTTGAACCATGTGGCAGCTATGGAGTCACCCCATCTTGCTTTGGCACAGTTGTTAGGGATGCACAGTGCAAGCAAACATAGTCCTACAGGCTGTGATAAAGGCAAAAAGACAAGGGAAACCTAAAAGGGTATTATAAGTTA